ATCTATTTGTTTTTAATTTAGTAAAGCTTAATGCTGCAAGCTGGGCCACCAGATGAATAGCCCTACATGTTCACCACATTCAGCTTTAACCTTTAACAGCATGTTGAGTCCTCGCCCTGAACAATATGGCCGCTGTTTTCTCCCATGAAAACTCACACCATCGCCTTTGGTCAATCCACTTACCTGATGCACAGAGTTGGGTTGGCTTCGACTCGCTTGCTTGCCTTGGTTCATTCAGAAGCCCTGGCTTTGTGTTTTATGATATAGCTTTAGTAGACTGTGCAAGACAGTGGTTCCAAATCCAGGTCCTCGAGGGCCACGAATTCTGCAGGAGCCTGACAATCACTTATTTATTCAAATCAGGTGTGTTGAAGCAGATAAACATCTGAAAAACGCAGGTTAGTGGCCCTCAGGGACCAGGATTGGGGACCACAGAAGTAGGGGACAGGACACAGGTCGCTGTTTTTATTTGCCGAACACTGAATGCAATATTCTTCATGATTATAAGCTGGGTGTGGCAAAAAAAAAATTTAATAAAAGCAAATAAGACATGTTGGGGAGCATGRCTAAGCCTGAAATGACAGGCATTGACATCAACTGGTTTGGCAGAGAAAATGTATTTCACTTAATCTACCTTCAAAGCCCTTTTTCATTACAATTTTTACAAATTTTTGTAACCATTTTTCTTTATATTTGTTTACACAAGTATTGCCATTATCACATTTTTAACATACTATAAGTTCTAACTTACCAAATATTTCTGTATTGAACATTTGTTCAGGTGTAGCATGTGTGCAAATATTAGATTTTAGCATTAAATAAGGGTTGTAATAGGGATTGCTTTATGACAATGTTTTACATGCTGTGGCAGCTGTGGCGGAGTGGTTAAMGGAGTCGTCCTGGAACCGGAAGGCCGCTAGTTCGATCCCCCCGTCCAGCCATCTCAGTCACTGTGTCCTTGAGCAAGACACTTCACCCACCTTGCCTACTGATGGTGGTCAGAGGGCCCGGTGGCGCCGGTGCATGGCAGCCCCACCTCTGTCAGTGTGCCCCAGGGCAGCTGTGGCCACAGTGTAGTTTGCCATCATCAGTGTGTGAATGAGTGTGAATGGGTGAATTGTCTGTTAGTGTAAAGTTCTTTGGGGTCCGGAGGGACTTGAAAAGCGCTCTATAAGTTCAGTACCACTTACCATCAGTATCAAATAAACTTAAATGTTTTAAAACCATCTTTTTCTTATTTCTAATCTATATTTTGCCATAATAACTGTGTAATGCAGTACATGAGCCTCATTTGGTTTAGTTTATATCTGCTCACAATTAAACACTTTCCAATTTGAAGTCATTGCTAAAAGCTATTTATTCTAAACTTTTAAACAGAACCCAACTTCATATCTGAAATATCCCTTTAGTAACAGACGTTTTGTACTTTCCCCGTGTTTCCAGCCATGTCAGAAAAACGGGTTTGAAGTTATATTAAGTAACAGTCCATATTTTTTTCTTTCCCAGAACAAAAAGGTGTTTCATAATCACACAGACACTTCTCATGTGTCGAGGTTTTCTTGGTTTCTGTAATATAACCATCCTGTCACCTGAGCAGCGTTGCCAAATAAGAAGTGTTGAAGTATTGTACCTTTGGTTTAAAGTTCTTATTTTGAGAAAATTATCGTACACACCCTARTGGCATTCTTCAATAGCCCATTATTGTAGACAGTGAATATAATGGCCAATAACGCTTATCCTCTTTAAATAATGTAAAAAATGTTTGGAAAAAGGGCACCTCCACCCATGTGGCCTGACAATGCCGTGGATGATCATTTTCCTGACAGAATAGTTAATGTGCATCATCGACTGAAACTTAATACATTTCTCAGAAAATGGAGTGAAATGATCCAAACGTTTTCAAGCATCAAGTCCATTTGACAAAACACACAACATGAAAAATCATGGACAAAACTGATCTTTAATGTTCATTTCCACTTGTGCCATTTCTTGGATCCAGACTTCTGCAGTGGCTTACATCTGGCATGAAGACTTGGTGTGAAATGCAAACATGAACAAGAGAAAGTAAAAGAAAATACACCATAAAAGGTAATATAACATGTAGGCCCCTTCACTCCAAATAACCACCTCACTACACTCTCCAGGACCTACTGTGGCTGGACCGCGGCAAATCAGGGACACCACTCCTCTTTGTACTCGCCAAACGGGTTTGTCAGAATTTTTGGCATCCTTGTGGCACTCTCCTGTGCCGTCACCATGCTATGTACACTCCCCACGGTACGACTGTGTGGCCACGTCATAATGAATCTACAAGTATCTCATCTCTCCAACGTTGTTACCATAACCATGTCGCAATAATGGCTGTAGCCTTTATGAGGCCAGTGTGGTGAGAACTGCTTAAACCCTCAATCATCCATGACATGGATACCTTTCCTCACGCTCTACCCAGTACAACACCCTTTCTATGGATGTTTTGTGCACTATCAGAACCAACAACGATCTAAGATGCTCCATCTTCTTTTTACTACATGTCTGAAATCCACAACCTTAACCCTGCAAAGCCCACCCACATTCTGATTAACACCAGAGTGGGGTAATCATCCAGTGTGAAGGAGGTCTAGAATTGAGATCTTCTCAAATGACAGCTGGTGGACACAGCAGTCATACACAACAGATGTTAGGATTGAATACTGTCGCATAAAACATACAAAAAGATTGGTTTTCATTTGTTGTGAGCAGGAAAACTAGATGTAAATAGGGAATAAAAGAGAGGAAAGAAGGCTGGGCTGTCATAAGGTCACTTAGAAGTCAGGACCAACAACATTTCATGACAAGTAAACAAAAAACAACATGATCTGTTACTGGCAAAGTGGTTTTAAGAATGAATTTTTTACCTGTAAAAACTCGGGGCACTTAAAACCGGCACTGGAGTTACAATAATCGAAGGTTTGTAAAAACATGGAAAGTACAACATTCTTTTGGAGAAAAAAAAAAAAAACATCTTTCAGATTTTATGTGCCTTTAGGGTGGACATTAATACTAGATTCAGTAGAAATACTTCATGCAACAAGCGTACGATTTCACAAATAAAAAACAACCTATAAAACAAGTTAAATAATTAAAAAAAACTCTTCACAGTAAAGTTTTCTCACATTCATACAGATCAGACATGCATGCAGGATGAGATGGAAAGAACACCATGTAAAAAGTTGTCTTTGCTTGTGTTCGGCTAGCGTACTGTATGTTTAGCCGCAGCTTGTGCTGGAGCAGAAGAGTTCGGGGACATTTATGACATGCTGTCATGAGAAATATGAACCTTGTGCCCTTCCTGACAGATCTGATTGCAGGAGCAAAGGCCAACATCGAACCATAAAAACAGTACATAAAGTGCTTCTGTGAAAATTAAACAAAATAAAAACGTACAAAACAGTTGTCAAAAGAGACGTATCAAAACAAAGCACTTTGGAACATGGAGGACGAAGAGGATTCCTGCACTACACACAGATGAGCTGCAGATTTTTCTTGAGATTTTAAAATAAATAAATTTAAAAAAAAGATGAGTTCAGACATGAGTGGAGGTAAGGGGGGAATGCTGCGCGGCATTTAACCCAGAATGAGGCTGGACTTGCCCCCTGGGGGGTTTCGACGGCCGGATGGTGCACCTGCAGCGGCATCCTCCATCTGAGGGGGCTCCTCCTGCTGCTCTGGAGCTGGTTCTGGATCAGCGGGGGTGTTTTCTGAACGTGAGCATGGAAGAAAATGTTGCATTAAAAAAAAAACAATATCAGAACAATCCCTTTCATTCAGATCACACCCTCTGGACGTCTGGCCTGTAGAGTCTAATCCCTTTCATAAATGCACACGTTGACAGGAAATGTAAAACATGGAGGTGTCAGGCTCATGTTTTTTCCCACTCAACTGGATTAGCTACACTAACAAAAATGTTTGTTTTTTTCCCCCAAATGACCACACACTGAAGTGCTTCTTTACTTTGTCATAAAATATTCAATACTGAGGTAAGCATTACAGAAACTAACACTCTGGAAAATGCATGTTCTAGAGGTGTTTGATGACAAAGACTTCCTTATTTCTCTTTTTATTATTTTTTATAAGATTTTTGATAAATGACTGCAGCAATCAGGGGAGATGCAGTAAAGCCTCCGTTCATTTAATATAACTTACCATTATCGCCTACAGAATTCACTCCATCCTGAAGAGACAACAAAATGAATTCATTAGCATTCAGTTTACTTCAGAATTTACAAAAGCATCAAGCAAGAGAAAAACACACACGTGAATGGCATTGTTTCCTCTCATCTTTAAGCTGTCCTTTCCTTTTTTGTTTTCTTTGGAGCAAAACTTCAGAATGAAACACGTCCCTGAGGGCCTGATGGATATTCTCACTGAGCTGCAGCTGCTGGAGATTAGTTGGTGACGCAAAAAGTGAATTTTTCCATTCTGAATGTGTATTAGCGTGGCTTAATGTTGTGTAAACGGCTTGTAAAACTGTATTCTTGGCACTTAYCTCTTTTTTTAATGACCACCACACTATACTCGTCCTGGATCACGGTTAACCTCATGCCTGTAGTCTCAGATATGTTTTTTGGCATAAGAAAAACCTCAAACACTTAGGAATACACACAAAAAAAACTAAGTTTAGAAGAATTCAAGACACCTACAAGAACTCGGACTATTTGGAGAGAAAATCTTTCCCACAAATTGTTTGAACATGTTCAAAATTCAAGCAACGTGACTGTGAGCCTGTGAGCCTGTGAGCCTGTGTGACTCAGAGAACCTCGGGAGAACTTCAGGAAATACTTCAGCTAGGGTTGGGCAATATTGGCAAAGAAATTAATCACGATTAATTGTGATAGCAGATAACGATTAATTTGACGATTAATCCCTTGGACACATTTGTGTCCTAGTCACATGACCAATTTAGTCGGAAAGATTTGCTCTTTGTAAAAATCTTTTTCAAATTTTGTCAAAATCACAGACTTCAGGCTGTATATCAAATTTTAAATTGTGWTGATAGATAAATTACAGAACTTTTGTTTAAATGTTTGTCATATTTGAAGCGGAGATGAGCACCGAGCAGACTGACCGGGGAAATKTCCAGTCAGTCTGCCCGGTGGCATTAATCATATTAATCATCAAAAGCTGAAAAATAATCGATTAATGTTTTTCCTGATGATTAATTGCACACGATACGATTAAGCCCAACCCTAATTTCAGCACTTTTTCATGACTGCTGTTCACCAACTTATCACCGACATTCTCAACTCAGTGAGACGCTGCACTCAGATTCAGACACCAATGTTTGTCTTCAACTGTTTTATTGCATCTGGAAGGAGCTACTATGAACCCAAGTGTGGACAGTCCACACACACTGAAGATGTCTTCACAAAAACAACCACCACACCCTCCCCATAAAAATCAAATAAACACTAAACTAATTAATGATTAAACAACCGTCATTTTATTTTTCTGAAAGATTTTAATAAATAAATAAATAAAAATGTCCATTTGGTCTATTATTTATTATTCATTGAATCACCAGGGTTTTTAGGGTGGGTTTCTCTTTATTCTGACCGCCTCACTGACCACAGCGGGTCCAGTCAGCTCTAAGAGCAATCAGAGAAACAGTCCGAGCAAAAGTAGGTCACAAATGTTCACCAAAACAGTGATGACAGGTTAGCACTCTGAGGTGGAGATTTTCTGCTTAAAACCTTCGTTTTAAACTTTAGACTTGAGTTTAAGAAAAATAGACCACACTTAACATTTTGTTTACATAGTTAACAGGTCAATTTCTTTCTAACCAAAATCAACATGACGATAAATACCAGAAAAATGTCTTCATTAAGTAGGAGAATAATAGAAAAGCTGTAGTTTTAGTTTCTGAACAACACAAACTGGTTGTTGTGGTTGTGAATCTGAACAGTAATATGGTTTCACTTCATTGTTTTTAAACCAAAAACTCAAAACTGAGGAATGTTCTTACTGTGGGAGGACGCTCTCCAGAGTGGTTGCCCGTGTTGTTTCCACCTCTTCTGAGGGGGGCAGACGGTTCACCACACAGCACACCTGACGGCTTCCCTCCTGGAGMGGCAGAAATCACATAAGAGCTGTGTGTTCAAACAGGATAATTCTTCTGTGGCTGGATGGTTAAGGTGGGATTTACAGCCTGGATTATCTAAAATTTTACTTCAGAGCAGCTTTCAGGTTCCAAACGTCATACTGTTTTTGTTAATGTAACATTTAACATACTCCCAGCTCTCTTTTAAAAAGAACAAAGCTAAAAACACACAATTATTTATGAATTTTGAATACATATGTGCTGAAAAGCAGCAAACAGAAAAAGTGACATGTTTACATGATGACAGCGACGTTTCAGGTCATCGGGTAATCAAAAGGAAAAGCTTTGTTTGTCCCAAACCTTTTTCACGAAAGGTAAACCAGGCAGATGAGATGTTTTCGTCAGTGTGATAAATAAATAAATATATAAATAAATAAATAAATAAAAAAGGTTGTTTTCACAGTCTCAAAATTTAAGTCAAAATGTTCAGATTGAAGTCGACTAGAACACAGCTGATTTTTTTTTTTAAATTAGGGAACGCTTCCAGAATATTTCAAACTGTTGAGTGTATAGGGTTTGTGTGATTTTAGAAAGAACAAGGGGGTTGAAGTCAAGACAGGTAGTGAGAGTCGACACAAGAAAGACTAAGCTTGACGGTGTGATGCAACAATAACTGGTGAGTGTGAGAGCAGCTGGCTGTGGGATTTAGAGCAGGAGATATTTGACATTTTATGTTTTTCATTAGCACTGGATTGGTGAGTTGTACTCCATGCTGTACGCCTCCAAAACTCTGTCTGAAAGTTCATTTATGAAAGCTCCCATTCTGACTGGAGGTGGCCAGCTTAATACGACATTTACAAAAACAGGCAYAGGTCTCTGACAGGGGGACTCGTTTTTGTTCTTGTACCAAAAGGATTGCGTAGTAAAAAGGGGCTTTTGAGTCTCATAAGAATGAAGAGTGAAGGTCAACATGCGGAAACAGTGCAACTCACTGGTCGAGCCAGTTCAAGATCTGTAGACCAGTTACGTCCTAATCTGACCTCCTGACCTACATTATCCCTGACATTCATTTATGACCAAGTCTTTGTCACGTGTTCTGCTCAGTGATTATTAGCTTCAGGGTGAAAATAAGTGAAGTCACTAGTTTCATTGTTTGCAGTAAAGTTTATTTTGAATTAAAACTACTTCCTGCATGGAAGGAAATCCCTCAGACTTGATCAACACCTACTGTCTGAGACTAAAAGTCATCTATTGTTTTGCTTCTTGAAACTTTAGCAATTTGTTCAGTAAAGTTCAGCGGTCATTTTGCTAACAGCAACAGAAAATCATTTTTAATTACAGTTTAAAAGTTTGTAGAGAGACAGAGAGCTAAGTACTTTGCTGAAAACATCTTTAATAACTTTTTAGAAAACTTTAATCTCTTTTGAACTTTAACAATTTGCATCAAAAACTACCAACAGTTTTGTAAACAGTAAAACTTGTTCAGTAAAGTTCATTACCTGAACTCATGATAATAAAGATTTAATTTTTAATCATTTCAGATCCAAAGCTCTTAGTTTTTGTTGTTGTTTTTTTAAACACAGAACATTTTAATTTGATGCTAACAGAAAAAGAAGCTGAACCTCAGGGGGAGACATTATAAAAACAACCAAAAGTTTTCAGCTGCTCCTCTGCCTCGACCCGCTGCAGCTCCTAAAAACACCAATGCTGTTCCACCTCTAAAACCTGATCCACCAAAAACAGAGAATTTGGCCAAAAAGCAGCTGTGGACTCCACAAAGACCACAAACCTGAAGAAACCAGTCCCCAGTCTGTCAAAACTCACCCTAAAGAGGACCTAAAGCCACGTCCAAACCCTGAGCAGAGACTGTCTCTGTTTTTCCAGCATCTCAGCCAAAACAACTGGTAAAACTGACCCAGACAGATTCTAAACTTTCCTGGGTCAGTACAGAACTTTAGCTTTAATCTTAATCTCTGAGTTTTAAGACCGTCTGAACAAACTAACAACTCTGCCTGCAGGATCCAGGCCATAGAAAAGCCTCGAAGCAGAGAGCAGCAGAATAATGAAATCATCTTTTCACAGGGAGAAGAAAGTGGAGGTGCTGGAACTGGTCCGAGCTGTGGCCCAAAACCACCAAGCCACGCTGATGGCAAACTGCAAGAAGTGTGTCTGGTCGGTATGTATATACACTGGACTGAMGTGAGGTCAACATGCTGAATGAAACTCCATGCAGGCATGTAGAAGCTGCAGAATCAACAGGAAGMTGTTTATCTGTATTCTTCCTCAGCTACCTGAGTCCAGCAGTGAGGACCAGCACCGCTCAGCAGCTCCACCTGCTGGCTGATGAGAGGGGAGCTGCAGTTCTGACAGCAGGACCAGGTTTCACCTCASGCTTCCTCCTGGCTCTCAGTAAGATGTGTCTGGATYCTGCAGCTGCAGTCAGGTCAGTTAGCGCTGCCTTTAGGCCCCAATTTATGATCAGAAACTCACTAAGTTCAATACAACGTTGCTCATCCATATCTACAGGCCCCGTGGACATGCTGTCCTCCAGAATCTTTACAAAGCTGTGGCAGAAAGAGACCACCTTTCAGTGCAGAAAATCCAGCAGGGACAGAGATGGAGGACTAAATTTTGTCAAAACCTTTAGCTGTTCCTCCAAAACTTTGTCAAGAACGTTATTGTGTTCTAATGAGGAGACATCACATCTGTCCAGCTGGAGCAGAGACATCACATCTGTCCAACTCCGTTGCTTTTTGCCTGTGTCAATCTTTTAGAGACAAATTATTGAATAGATAAAACTGTTCCAACTAAAAACGTCCCTTGAGCTTTAGTGTTTATCTGTTTGAAATGTCACCTGTATTGTTTTTAATGTGACAAATATGCCTTACTAATTCATGGTTCAGAGTTAAAAGCTGTGAAAAGTAAAAAATAAAATAAAATAAACTTGCCAACTGTAACAAAGACAATATCAATGTTTTAAGTTACTGTTTAACCTCAACACACCCACATAACATATATTAATATGCACATCTGTTTGGTCAATCTAACATTAGCTTTATAGTTTGAGAGACGACAAGAACAAGAAAATTGTTTCCTAAAAACAGAAAAAAGTTCTGATGTAAACTTTTGAAAATATCTGAATTCATTCCATCAAATTTTAAGTGAATTTTTTTAAACAAAAATGAGAAGTAGAAGGAGGAAGTAAGAAGTGAGATGTCGCTGGACTGATTCAAACTATATTTTGTGTCACCCCAAAAACGTTTTACTGAATTTCAGAGGTAAAAAAAAGGAGGAAGAAGAAAATGTCATGCGGAAAAGTGTGAAAGTGCCATTCAGACTGTATCACGTGTACACATTATTTTTAAAATTGTGTGGGGGTCGTAGCATACGAAAAACGTTTTTGTAGCCTTTTCACAAATGCAAAGAAAATAGAATAAAGCACTTTCCTAATCTCAAAACAATTATACTCTTCTTATAAGAGTTGTTTAATGTGAAAAATAGATCAAAAAGCTGAGAGTGAAGTATAGAGGGAGAAGCATTAGGACAGGAGATAGAAGGTACCTGGTGGGTTGTTCCTTCGATTGGCGTAAGGGTCTTCTGGCTCAGCAAAAACACTGGAGGCCATCTTGTTTTTCCTGGCAGGAGCCTTCTCCTCCTCTGCACCAAGCGAAATGTTGGAGCCCCCACCAGGAGGGCGCAAAACCCTGGAAAGAGACAGACATGGTGATGGATATGATTTTTATCTTCCTTTTCAAAACGCAACAATTATTTACGAGATGTTCTAACAAGAAAAACCCACCCAAAAAGCTAAAAAATAAGACTCAGATTACAATAGACTGAAAGAAATTAATAAAAGATTAATAAAATGTATTAATAAAATTAATATATCATCCTTTGGGTACATTTTATTTAATAATATTTACTGTGAAACTTAGCCTAATAACTACTGAATATCCCACTCCTAGAGGTTGACTAAGTTTTTCCGTGGCTGATGACAATGCCAATCTTTAGAAATATACAAGAAAGATGTGTATTTTTAATTTGACATACTATAACAATGCTCAGCCTAAATAAACATATATTTACCAAGTCTTAGAATGACTTGCACACATAAAAACAATATACCAAAGAGAAATATTACTTAAAAATGTAAACTGTGGGTTACAGTAAACGGTAGTAGCAGTTGATGCTGCATCTTCTTTCACCTACATGATAATTAAGAATTGTATTTACAGGAATAGTCAATTTCCAAACTTAAAAATGACTAAAATCAGTTGAATAATTASTCTATATCTAGCTTTAACAGTATTATTAGCATGGTTTAATTTCTGGCTGTGTAGATCGTCAGAGCTGGAAAATCATGAGGTTGCAGGTTTGAGTCTAGGTTGAGTAGAGAAGGGCATCCCTTGCAAAATGTACTTAATTTTACTGCAATATTTGTTATTAGGAGGTTTTTATTGTTACACAACGTCCATAGACMTCACCGAAATAAACAGATTACCTTCAATAGTGTTTTTTGTTTTATTATTTCAGATAAAAGTCGACATATTCAGACATTCAGACCACCAGGTGTGGCCAACATGGCTATCTGGGTTCCAGGCAGTGCGCGGGGCAGACACATTGTACATCTGCGGATGTCTTGACAACAGATCTGGATGAGCGGAGGCCCCACCCTAATGTGACCGAGCACATACATCTGAACATTTCCTATTAAACACTAAAGCTATTTATTAGGTAATTACAAACCATCTAGCGGATTTGTTAAAGGCCCGCGGAGGTACCAACACCCAGCAGTCAAGCCTGTATTAAATGTGCAGCTATTAGCCACARGCTAACTTGCTAAGCTTCCGCAGGGTTAATCCTGAACAAAACAAGGCGTGGTATTCCTCTCTCGCTGTTTTAATTCGAGAAGTCAATTAAACAATGTGAAATAGCAGGGGGATAGAACGGTTTTCGTGTAGTGTAATGATGAAATCGAGAAAAAGATGCTGAACTTGGTTTAATCGTGGCTAACAGGTTCACAAGTCAGACATCGCCTTACCTGGAACTGCTTTTAGAGCCGGGCTCCATCCCTTGAAATGTCGTGGTAGTTGTCATTTCTACACAAAATAACAGACACTAATGTTTAACCTGGCAAAATATAAGCGAACTGTACTTCTGTCAACAACACTTCACCACCTCATTATTGTCTAAACCAGCTAGCGCTAATCAAATCAGCATCCACCTGCCTCCACTCTTTCAACAACCAAAGCCCGAAAATTAACTTCCGGTTGTATTTTCTAAATAAAATACATGACAAATGTTGATGCCTTATGCTTTTTTTTCTCTCGATCGATTCGTAAACTAATTTTCCACTTTTATAACTGCAAACATGTAAGAACTATGTTTTAAAGACAGAGGAAAAAAACGTCTTTATACTTTTTATCTTAATTTGAAGGCTTTTCGAGTTTCCGGTTATCCTTAAGGAAATTATACACTCGTTCTAATACACCATTTAATTTCATTATTTTTAAACATTTTTATTAGTTTTAAATGTCTATATGTGAAGTTTATTTATGG